CCCCCGCCGTGGCTGTGTGTGTGTCTGATTCAGTTTTAAATCTGATAAGTATAGGCCTGGTGAGTGCCCGACACAGAGCCTATTTGCAAAGCGATTTATGGAAATTAGCAATCCCGTGGCCTTTAGCCTCGGGATCATTCCACCCTCCTACTCAGTTCACACTGCGGATAATCGAGTGTCACAGAGAGGACGCGGCTGGAGGTGCCTCGCAGGGTGTCATTTACTTTGCCGGACTTCCTGGGCTTGCTCACTGTTAATGTCATTACTAGCTACTGAGGTTCTTTTATCTTCAAAGGGCTCGATGTGCGCTTTTACTAGACATTCTTTGCCTCGCTTTACCCCGGCCTTATAAGGGTCAGTATTGTTAGTGCTGAGTGCAGTTCAGAAAGAAGAGTTCTTCCAAAGGTGGAGAACTCTCTGTGGAGTTTCCGAAGTTTCATCCGTTATAGAAATCATCGTGAATCCAGAATTTTGTTTTTCCTCCATCCGAGCAGAGTGAACTGCTCATCCCAGAATCTCAGAAGCCAGAGCGAGTATCTAAGCACTTTGGGTCCGGCTCCCTCGGAGAGCTTCTGTTTTATCTGCATCACCACCACACCAGGGTCAAAACTCAGAGAACTTGAAGTCAGAGAATCTACTGAACCAGTAGTGGCCGAGGACAATCGAGCCCCTGGGCTGGGCCTCCTTCCTTCTGACTTCTGGATGTTGCTGTCCGATTCTGTTGGCGTCTCTCACACTTGGAGGTGGTACCAGGGCAGGCGCACTCCTTGGCTCACCTTTCTATGAAACACAACAAAAGTTCTTCATTCTGGACTCTCCTCTCCCCACCCTAACATGCACAGACACACAGAGCCTTGAGGATCTCAGACCAATATTTAGTGAAGCCCTGGAATTTTCCAATCTAAAATCCATTTCCAGTGATAGCAGTTTCTTTTAAGTCATCTTATCCTCTGAGAGAAACTGCCAGTCCCCCTCACCCAAGGGCTCCCAGCCAGCCATGGGTGCCTCCCCATCCATTTCTTAAGAAGCCTCTGAAGGGATCTGTTTGGTTCAGAGTAGGAGAGACTGGTTTCACTTATTCATTCAACAACAGCAGGTTTCTACTCGGTTTGAGGCACTCTGCTAGGTAACTGGTGTTCCAAGGTCAGGAAGATAAGTCACCGTAGGGTGTGGTAACTTCTTTCTTTGTTTCTGTTCCAGGTGAGGGCTTCCACAACTACCATCACTCCTTTCCCTATGACTACTCCACCAGTGAGTACCGCTGGCACATCAACTTAACCACGTTCTTTATCGATTGCATGGCTGCCCTCGGCCTGGCTTATGACCGGAAGAAAGTGTCCAAGGCGGCCGTCCTGGCCAAGATTAAAAGAACTGGAGATGGAAGCTACAAGAGTGGCTGAGTTTGGGGTCCCTTGGTTTCCTTTCCCAAAAGCCAGCAAGGCAGAGTTTTAATGTTCTGTTTATTAACTACTGAATAATGCTACCAGGATGCTAAAGATGATGATGTTAACCCATTCCAGTACAGTATTCTTTTAAAATTCAAAAGTATTGAAAGCCAACAACTCTGCCTTCATGATGCTGAGTTCTTCTCTTCTCTGTCTTCTAGACCCATCGCCCTTTTCTTTGCTTTGGTCCTGTCACCTTCCTTTCTCTTCTCCCCGTAGCCTCCCAGACAAGCAGCTGGTAAGGCATTGTTGGGTGTCCAGCTTCTGGAGTCTAGGCAGCCTTTCTATCCGAAACTAGTGGTTCTGCCCCAGGTAACTCTTTCCTTGAACTGTTCTGAGCTTCAAGGTAGGTGGCTCAAGCTAGAGATTTGGCAAAACCTTCTGGGAAGACTCCTATTAATGATCTTCATGTCAGGCTTTTGCTAGATGGAATGGAAAAGCAACTTTATGTGGCACAAAGCTTCTAAAGCAGGTAAATTGTCAGGGGAGAGAGTCAGCATGCACGGCATGATTGATGAGTAAGGATGGGGTGAGGTGGGAAACAAAGCAAGAAGCTCCTGATGTGAGCAAACATATAGCTGCCTGCCTAGTGAGGACATGGAGCCCCCACACAGCGTGCTTCCTTTCTCTCCTGACTCCGAGTAGGGAATGGCCGTGGAGCTTGGCAATGCTAGAACACAAAAGCAAATCTTAGGTCCCAAGGGACTGTAGGCTGAGGATAGAGAAGAAGCATTTAGTTTGTAGTACAAGTGGTCTTTGATGGAGATTTATTTTTTCTTTAATAACAGAAAGATTTATTTCATATATCAGGAAGTCTTGAGGTTGGTTGTTTCCAGAATTGGTGAATCCAATCGCTCATGGAATCATCAAAATTCTTTCACCTTTCTGCTCTGCCATCTGACCCTTGGGATATGGGTCAGCTCCACTCATAGTAATAAGGTGGCTGCAGCATTTCAGACATCCAAAAAAGGAATGCATTGGTGGTATCACGGTGAGCATTCCAAAAAAGGAAGGATTTTAGGAGGTAGGTCAAACAAATATATATATATATATACAGATATACTTTGCTTAGAATATGAAATAATTCACTCAGAGTATTTTCCTCTGAAAGAGGAATGCTTGAAGAAGAGGAAGAGTTAGGTGGGTTGTCTACTTTGCCCCCACTATTGGACAGGGGATAGAGAGGTTGAGGAACAGGGTCTGTAGGCAGTTCCTGAGACTTGACTTTACAGAAGAAGGACTTTGAGAATGCATTGTCTGGGGATATGGATTTGGAAGCTTACTGAGTAAGTTATTGGATGTCCTAATAGGAAAGCTGGTTATCCAAACAAGTTAGTTCTTAGGTTCATTCATTGACTCCTATTTCTCCTTGGAATAAGTAAAAACTAGAAGGCTTCTCACTACAGTGTTAGGCTATTTCACTCATTTATTCCCTGTTAACATCTAGCCCAGTGATTTTCAACCTTTTTCGTCTAATGACACATGTAAACTAATTACTAAAATTCTGCAGCACACCAAAAAATATTTTTACTGATCTAACAAAACAAAAAAAGGTATAATTTTGATTCAGTCACACCGGATGGCCATTGTTGTGTTGGCTGTTGTCATTTTTTAATTTGACAATCTAAAGGAAAAGAGGTCAGTGCCCCTGACTAAAATAGTCAAGTATTATGTGTTTTAAAAATGTGGCACGCTGGTTGAAAATCGCTGATCTAGCCTAAAGTACAGGACTGCCTGGGGCCAAGTGGGAGTCTTTTAATTACTGATTATTGATTCCTGGCTCTACCCTATCTGTCCATTTCCCCTACCGGTTCTATCTATTCCCTGATGTTTTCGTTTTTCTCTGGACAGGCAGCCTCCTTTGTGTATTCAGAGGCAGTGATGGCTATTGCTGTCCAGGCAGACAGAATGCTCAGGGTCACTGAACCACTGTTTCTCTTTATAAAGTTGAGCTAGCTGCCACTCCCACTTGGCCTCCAGAGTCTCTCCACCTCCACCCCTGTAATCCCCCTACCACACTGATGACTGAAGACAAGGTTGGCAAACCCTACCAGAAACACCCCTGGCTCAGGCGCTCTCTCATGAGGCACAGCCAAGCCGAATGCTTGCATCATGCCAGTGAGCCAGCCATGGAGCAAAAGAGAGTTTGTTTTCAGTCTCTTCTGTCTGGGTCAGAACCAGAGAACATACTGGATGCCCCCTGCTTGCTTATTTACCCTGCCCAGATTTAGTCCGTGCTCCCAGCTGACTGCAATGCTGGTAGAAGTAGGAGGGAGCCTAGACTTCACTGGGAAGCACAAGAAACAAAGGCGAGTTCCAAAGTGCCTCACTTGAAAGGAGGCCCTGTTCGCTCCCTGGAGCCAGGGTACACTGCAAAGCTTTGGCTGAGACTTGGGATCTGAGATGCCGTGAACTGTGCTGAACAGCATCTCTGTTCAGCAAACTAACCAGCATTCCCCAGGACACAGCCTAGGGTAGACAATAGTGTAGAAGAGGTCTGGAAAAAAAAAAAAAAAAAAATCAGTGTTTTGAGAACCTTGGACCAGTCCTGTCCCTGTAACTGAGTCATCAATTCAGAAGCCTGGCTTTTCTCTATCAAGATTGGAAATGTACAATACCAAATTCTCTGTCCACTGTTGAATCCCAGTGGGGGAAGGAAGGGGAGGGCCTTTCTTCCTATATTAACTAAATAGATAGAGGCCACAGGGGTAGTATGCCTGGTCTAAAGGCATCTTCGTCTTTTGGGCTGTTCCTCTCAGTAGAAAAGAATCTAATGGAAGATCACTAGTTTTGATCTGCTGACCTGTGCACCTATCCCTGGGAAATGTCTGTTGGATAGTTTTAATTCCACAGCTCATCAGATGCCTGCTTTATAATTTATGATCAAAACCAACTTTATCTTTCTAATCATGTTCCATGGATCTGATCTATGCCATGACCCTACACAAGGTTGGACGGGGTCCTCAGGCTGAGGGCCCCAGTGTATATGGGGGGGGGGGTCCTGCTGAGTAAGGAACACTTTTCAAGATTCTAAAGCTGAATTCAAATAATTCATTAATGATCCAAAAACTCAGATCTGATCAAGTCTGAATTTCTAACAGTCTTTGCTTTGTGGGTATGCTGACAACTTATTTGGGTGCCTTACATCTTTTCTAATCAGTGTTGCATATGAGCCTGCTCTCACTCCCTCCTTGCTCCTCTGTGGAGTTCCTTTGCACCTGAGAGCCTACAGAAGTGGCTGGTAGAAAAGGGGGCCTGGCTGGAGAATTATCAGTACAGCTGTTTGCAGGATTCCCTTCTGGGCTTCATTTTGGAAACTTTTCTTAGGTCTGTGTTTGTTGAGTGCCCACATTTGATGGAGAGTGGAAGTAATTTGAATGCATTTGATTTATGGGGTGTTTTTTTTTAGGTTAAAAGATTGTTGTAGAATTTAAAATGGAAACTTTTTCTCCTTGGTTTTCTAGTATCCTGAGTATATTCTCTGTAAGTATAGCTCAAATGGGTCAGCATGAAAGGTTAAAGAAAGCAAGATGTCAACACTACCCGGGTGGTTAAGACCAAGGCCTCTCCTACCACTGTGCCACTGACTTGCTATGTGACCCTGGGCAAGTCACTTAACAATAATGTGCCTCAGTTTTCCTTCTGTTAAAATGGGGATAATAATACCTACCTCAAAGGGCAGTTTTGAGGTGTGACTAATGCTTTTTACAAAGCATTTTGGGATCCTTCAGCAGAGAAATTCTCTTAAGTCCTGAGTATTTTTATAGTAGCAGTATCCACCATGAATTTGTGTCCACTATGAACCATGTGTCCCAGATGCTATCATTAATCTATATGGTTTTCTCTGAGAAATTGAATAAATCCATTGGATAAGTGGTGGATAACTAGCCAGACAAAATTTGAAAATGCATAAACTCATTGCCATGGAAACATGCACAGGATACCTTTTCCTTAATTGGGTGGGATTTTTCCCTTTTTATGTGGGATAGTAGTTATTTGTGACCTAATAATAATTTTGGAATAATTTCTATTAATAACTCTGAAGCTAGTTGTACTTATCTAAGATTGTGTTTGTTCATAATAAAAGTGAAGTGAATCTGATTGTACTGTGTCTGGGAGTTTTTTGGCTGAGATTCAAAGTCTCCTGGGACTTATCTCTATGGTACACCATGGTATCTAGGTCCTGTTCCTGTACCTTTATGAGTAAAAAAAAAAGTAAAAGCTACAAAGATTGACTCATACCCCAGTAATCCACCCTGTCCTTCCTAAAGGTAACTTTAGGTTAAATTCAGTCTTGGCAGCAGGAAACCAGGAGTCTGCTGCCATTAAACCAAACACATTAATACCAGCTGATACTTTGGCCCTGGGGAAATGCCAGGTCTCTTGTGTGTCATATGGTCACAGGGACCCTAGAGGAAGTTAGCAGCAGGAAAAACACTCTGGGAAAGCAGGTTTTTATCACCAACCTAGGCTGAGCAGTCCAGGTCATTCCTCCAAAATGTAGTCCAACCCTGGAACAACGTGGCTTCCTGGAAATGCTGATTAACAGCAGCAGGAAGAAAGGAGAAACAGTCCAAGGGAAGGTCTGCAGATTCCTGGGATAGAGGTAATCATAAGGTGGAAAAGGCTTTCACTTTTACTACTTTATCTGAGAATCCTCATGTGGAAAAGAGAAGGGGGGCTTTTTACAACTGGAAGCTGCATCTTCCAACAAGGGCCATCTTGACAATACCTAGGCTTCTGAGTTTCCTAGAACCAACTCCCCTCACTTTCTCATGTAAAGTTGCCCTCACCTTAAACAAGAAGCGAGATTCAAGTTAATTCAGTGCATCCAAAATCAACTATATTCATTGAGGTCTTGCCAGACAATAATTTAAGTTGGCTTTCCACCTCTTTCCTTGTTTTGTTTAAAATATTCAGGCTGGACCTTTTTTTTTCTTCCTGTTCTATAATTGCACTGTTCCTTCCAAGTCTGTTTTATTTCCCATTAACCTACATCCAAGTTAAATAATTTATCCTTACTAAGCCCTGCTGTTTTTCATTTCCTCCTGTTTTATACCTGGCTGTCCTCCCTCTGGTTAAACATACTTCTACATTTCCTTCAGATGTTCTGTGTCTTATGTTTGTTATTTCACTCTGGGCCTGTTGTTTTCTTTTATTACTATCTGCAAAAATTCCACAAAGGAAGAGGAAAGGGAAGAACGCCTAGAACTTAATTGGTATGTTCAGTTGAGTTCAAGCTTGAGAGGGAAAGGGAATTATGAGTTTACCGTTAAGGGTGCATTGTAAAACAGCACTTGCGGGCAAAGTAATGAGCTCTTGTTTTTGACATGTTTTATATGGAAATAGAAAGAGGTTAAGGCTCTACTTAATAATCAAGATTTAACCATGGGACAGAGGATAAAAAGTAATTTAAGAAAATAATGTGAAAGAGCACAGAAGTGAAATTCCTGATGCCCAATGGCCACCAGTTTTCCCTAGAGGAAAGACCAAGATAGTCCCTAAACATACGCCTGCCAGGGCACGAAAAGAACTAAAGGCACCCAGATTGAAAAGGGAGAAGTAAAACGATCTCTGTGTGCAGATGACATGATTTTGTTTATTTAAAAACCTTACAGAACCCACCCAAAAAGCTATTAGAACTAATAGACAAGTTCAGTAAGGTTGCAGGGTACAAGGTCAATATACAAAAATCAACTGTATTTCTATAAACTAGAAATTAATAATATGCAAATGAAGTTAAAAGAATTCCATTTATAGCTTCGAAAAGAAGAAAGTGAAGAAATAAATCTAGCAGAAGAAGTACATAAGAATGGCACACTGTCAACTACAAAGTGTTACAGAATTTAAAGAAGACCTAAATAATGGCAAGAAATCTCATGTTCACGGATTGGAATACTTGAAAGTTGGTAACACAACTCAAACTGATCTACGGATTCAATGCAATCTTTTTTTTTTTAACCTCACCTGAGGATATTTTTTCCATTGCTTTTCAGAGAGAAGGAGAGGGGGAGAGAGAGAGAAACATCAATGGGAGAGAGACACATTGATTGGTCACCTCCCGCACATGCCCTGATTAGGCTGGGGATCGAACCTGCAACCGAGGTTTGTGCCCTTGACTGGAATCAAACCTGAGACCCTTCAGTCGGCTGATGCGCTAACCACTGAGCAAAACTGGCCAG